TTACCTTGTAGAGCGAGAGACAGTGGCGTGTGAGGACACAGGAACTGCTGGCCAGGGAGTCGGAGAAGCTGGACTTCGCTCTGGGCGAGATAGAAGTTCTCTCAAAAAACCTTCAAAGAGAAAAGGAATCTTTTGAAAAAGCGTAAACACGTGTTAACTTTGTCATAATACAAAACATTTATAAGTCCTGCTCTAAACAATAAAATGCACCAAAATAAAACCGATTCCTTCAGTTGACATTTACACTGTACTCTTTAAGTATCTGAAATATATAATCTTGTATCGCACATAATCTGTCTTGCAGGTCCTGTAGCCTTTGTATTCCAAACATTAGGCCAGCTACAGTATGAAGGTTAAACTATGAAAGTGTTAATGAGAGTAAACACCCAATATTTCACTTGCTGTCTACCAGCCTTGCCTTAGACTTGCCTTAACTGTTTACTGGTTTTGTAATGACATTTTATCACATCTTTAACTGATATTTGTGCAAATAATTGTCAGATTTTATCAATTAAACTATTATTTGTAAAGATGCGTAGAGGCTTTTAATGCAAAATCCTGAAAAACATACATAAATGTTTTTTTCCCATCTTTTTTTCACCCAGGCTTGCCAGTATGAAGAACAGAGCACTGAAAGAGTCAGCAAAAAATGAAAAAATGAAAAGCAAGTGTAGTCGTAAGTTTTCATTTCCTTAAAATCTTTTTAATGTTTGCAGTCAGATGCTTTACAAACAGGAGCCACCATGTACTGAATCTGGAGTTCTCACTTTTCGGCCCAAGGATATTTACTGTTACATGATTTTAGATAGATTACTTAATTCATAGATAATTTATTTAATTAAACATTACATAGAATTTATTTATTTATGTTAAATAAGGTTATATTAATCTTTTAATACTATTTTCATGATGATCTAATAATGTTTTACATCTGAAATATAGAAGAATTCAGACCATCCTAAGGGACACACAAACTCTGCAGCCACTGTAATCTTCTTTCTGGTCAGCTGCCTGTAGATGGAGCTGTCTGCTCTCGGCTGTAGCACTTCCTGATGTTTTAGTCCAAAGCCCTCACATCTCCTAAATGGGTGGGGGATGGCCATTTGATTTTTCCCATTACAAGTGTATTTGAATGGGCGTGAGCCATGTAGTCCATACTAGATACCTGTCATCGTCACTCAGCCAGTACGCAGTCCAGCACGGGCTCTGTATGAGTGGAACAGGACAGGAATGAGTGGCAGCTCGTTACAGAATGGTAGTGCAGAATGCTCCCATGGTCTCCAGCCGTTACTTCTGCCTTCACGTTTATTTGGCCAAATCACCTTTGATTTAAAGGTACAGATATTAATTTCAGAGTTTCTGGGAGAAACTGCCTGGATGATTTTAACAGGAGATGGCAAGGATAAATGCAACAATATTTAATGCTGTAAAAACCATGTAATTCCAAAGATATTTCCTAATATTTTGTTGGTTACACTACTGTTTTTTAGTTATTAAATAATTGGAAACCAGTCTGCTGGCAACTGTGCTTGTTGTTTTTCAGGTCTGTGCAGCAGAGTTAGTGATGTCTGTAGTGCAGGCTATAAAGTTAACTGATGTTTTTCTTTCAGATTTTGAATCCTCTGTTCTAATGCACCAGGCCATTTTGAAAGCAAAAGATGACCAAATCAGAGAACTCCAGAGGAAATTAGAAAAACAAAAAAACACTTTTAAGTAGGTACATTTAATACTCCCTGTATGTATAGGAAGTCAGTTGCCTTTTCCTTTATTAGATTCACGTCACAGTGTGTTACCAGCCAGTTTATTGAGAGAGTTGAAAGCCACACAAGTAAAGGGCTATTTTTCCTTTGCCCCAAGAATGAGAAAAAACAGTTTTTGTAAAATCAAATTATTGGTCTAAGCATCCCACCTCCTCATCATCAAAGATGATCTGTCCTTATTTCACCCCAGACTAAAAATGGTCTAGACAGAAAAGCAAAGATACTTGCTTGTTACAATTAGAAGAATCAGAGTGAAGTGTTGGTCTACTGTAGGTATTACTTTAGCAAGTGTATGCATTTCCATAGTGAGCATGGTAGCATTCAGGTCCTCCTGGACTTTGATGGCTTTCTGCATGGAGTCTGAAGGCTCCAGGTTCTTACCAGTGACGTGCAGGTAGATTTGATTGGCTGTTATGAATTTGTTTCCTTGTAGTTTGATTCCTGGTTCCGCTGAGGAAGGTGGCATGAGTAGAGTGTCTGGTTCTTCTCCCATTGCAGCCAGTTCTAGTAAAGAGACTACAGTGACAGACCCATACACAGAGCCTACTACTGAGCCACTGAATGCTCTCATGGGGTTTTGCAATAGCAGGTTCTCTTGCTTGTTTGGGGTTTTGCTTACCCAGTCTTAGTCTTATCTTACTTATTCTATCAGAGTCCAGCTGAGGGACCTTGAGATACAAAAACAGCAAGAAGCCTACATAGCCCGAGAGCTTCCGAAGAAGAGCAGAAGCGGGACCCGTCACCCACAGCCTTGTCCTACATGAGTGTCAAATCTGGAGGACTAACACTGGGTCGTACAGTCTTCAGGGTCTCCACTACGCTACTAACAGCCCTGGCACTACAGGGCCTGAGCAAAACCTGGACCCACGCTGTGGACCCTAGAAGCAAAGGTCTGTATCTTAGGAGACTGATGACTACTAGTCGAAGTGTTTTTCTTGTTCAATTTAGAATTTCCTTATTCTTAAACCTGTTGACTGTCTCATCAGTAAACACATTCCGCTCATCATCATTGAGAGATTTTGTGGCAGCAAGGAACAAGCTGCACAGCCAGTTTGTTGAAGCATGCCTGCCTTCTTTCAAAAATGGATTCTCGTTTCCACTAGCTACTAGCAATCAAGCAGGCTAGATGGGCCAAATGACCGTCTCTCATTTGTAACCTTTATAACACATGAGAACATTTGATGTGTTATAGTTCATTTGAATAATTAATAAGTGCAAAGGAAATGTATTTTTTTACTGTAAACAATGCTTGTGCTGTTGCTTATACTGTGTATTGTAAGTCAAGTATATAGGCTTTTTGATTACTTGTTTGTTAATAAATGTTAGCATCTCTTCTGTTTTTTAATTCTTAAAACAGAGACATATGTTTACTGAACCTTGCTGAATTGCTACCACATATTCATATATAGTGTGAAGGTATCACATTGCACATATAATAAGATGTAGAGGTGGTTTCATTCAATCTAGGAATTCTGTAAGGGGTTTTCTGAAATTTAGGAATGAGTGTTTAAAAAACATTGCCATAGTTACTGTATCCATTAACAGAAAACCAAGTCCTTATTTATAAATGCAGAGCTCAAGAGCTAGATTAGTGCTTGGCATTAATGAGTAATCACAGTTAACTCAAAAGAGCTAAAAAAATTAGAATGTTAATCAATCCAAACTCTAGTGTTTTGCAACATTTAGTTATTTTCTGAAGTTTTGTGTTTTATGATCAGTATGACATGTAGAACTCGTTGTAGCTTTAATAGGTTGTAGAGGCATGTATCACCAGGTCTCGAGCAGATCATTTTATCACTGTGTCTCTTAAATCCTTACTATGAAGGAATTGAATTATCTGGGAGAGTTCTGCAAGGGCATTAACTTCATTGTATTTTCTGATGTACTGTCATACAGTCATTTGTCATGTGTCTACACATTCCTGTGATGTTTAAAGAAAGCTACTGAACTTCTTCACAATGAACAGTGTTTGTTCCTCTTGTTTGTTACCTTTCTTAAGTAAAGTAGTTGCTTACAAACATTTTTTTAGAGAATTCCTGGTGACCGTAGGTTGCCACCGTTTTCCTGTGTACAAGGGCAACTGCTACATTCCCTGCAGGCTCCAGGCACATATCGCATAGTAGGAGTGGTTTGCATTCTTTCATCCCAGATGAGTTGACTCATCTCCCTTAAAGTTAACCCTTTCGGGACTGGCTTGAAAATAAATAAAAGAGGCACACCTCGGAACATGTAATAGGTTCATTCCATGCTGAAAAAAGAAGAAAGAAAACACAACGTTTCGGCCGTGGAGCCTTCTTCATGTGTGTTCCCAGGTATGTATTTTAGTAACTGTGTCACTTTTATTTAAAACAGGATTAATAAATTACTTTTGTCTCCATGCAGTTTCCACACATTGCTTGTTAATAATAAAAATGATTTTGCGGCTTAATTTAGTTGTTTTACAGCCACCCAAAACCAGTCAATTACACTTGATTCTATGATTGTCCTTTAGCTGTTTGAGAGAGATCTCGAATATTACTGTCACTCAGGGTGGGATGAGTCAGTGTCAAAGGAGCCTGTGTAAACACATTGATCTCTGTGTGAGCTAAAACATACAGACACACTTGGTGGTTGTAAATTGAATGGGTGTATTGTAAAAACAGTAAATACTAAGCTAGAGGAATGCATTTCTTTCAACACAATGAAATATTTTTATTGTGTTTCAAATTAACAGTGGTTGTGAGGATGATTATATTTGCCTAAGCTGTTATCTTTTAACTATATTAAAGGACTTGGCGTTAGGTACCTGGCGTTACTGCCTGTAATGTATTTGCCTCATTCCTGTCTCTGTCTTGTCATTAATGTTTGATTTACAAAACATTTAACAAATGTTTCGGTATATCAAAATGGTCTTTAATTCAGTTGTTTTTTAGTGAGTGCAATATCAATGTTTTTTGTCTGTAAACCACGGGGAGAGACAGGGATTCAACATCAAGGTTTTGGTCCATGCCTGGAGCGGTCTGTTTGCAGGCGAGAGGCAGTCTCTCTAATGAGCCAGACATTTTGTTCTCCTTCTCTCCAGCAACAGCACTGTTTTAAATTTAGCACAGCCCTGTGACTCTCCTGGCTTGGCATATCAGATTCCTCTCGGATGCTTCTGTCCAGATTGGTTTAGCACCTGCTGCTAACTATAACTAAGTTTGAACCATACAGACTGGATGCTGACTGTGATACCACATAAGTGTCCAAGAACATCAGGCAGAAGACAATCTGAATTAAAGAGTTCTGATCAGCCATCCCTTGATCAGGAAACTGCCTGTCTCTTCATGTAAAAGCTGTAAAGGTACTTTAAATTGAGGCTAATTTCTCCCTGCTTTTCACTGAAATGGACTTCTTGATCTGCAGCAAGAATGAGATTCAATAGCACTGGACAGCGCCTGTGGATTCTGCTGGGTTTTCGACCCACGTGATCCAGTCTACTATACCTGAAGGTAACACTAGATTCAGTTCTCAAATTTTAAAGCTTTCACTTGACACAGCATGCTCAAGCCCATTAACTTCAGGTGATATTGTGGCAATAAAAGACCAGAATGCCGTACTAGGCTAACGAACTTGATCTTGGATTCACTTAATATGATATTTCTCAGGACTGTTTACTGCCGTAGAGCCCTTTTTCTTGCTTTAAATTTAAAAGCAAGTAAATATGAATGGTGCATCTAAAGGAGAATGGTGTTGCTTGTTATACAGACTGGATGCTGACTGTGTGGATTCTGAGTGGGTTATTCATGTATGGTAACATTACATGCAGTTTAGATAAAATAATCAAGCATTGTAATTAAGTAAATTACATAAGTAAATCTGTTTAATAGTCACTTAAATACTGCCCGCAAGACATTAGTAACAGTCTGCTAAGGTTCAAAAGTGTAATCTTGATATTTGAGGTGAACTAAGCTTAATTATGAAGCAGTACTGTATATTGAGAAGTATATTTACGATATAACTTGAGTTCTGTAACAAAATTCACTACAGTTCAATTGAAAAAATAATAATAATTTCAATGAGCAATAATCATTTTTATAAAATATTAAATCAAATTGGTTATTTCCTATCATCGATAAACTGTTAATGATTGTCTTTAGGAAAATGGACTAAAGTAAAATCCCAGGCTCACTCCAACAAAGACACTGTAAATCCAAGCTGTCTACAGACAAGCTGGGACTTTTACTGGAATGGAGTTTGTCAAAGGTGATGGGGATCAGCAGGCAGGGGTTCCAGTGTCCGCCCAAAGCCCTGAGCCCCGCGGCCCTCTTCCTACTGGACACTGTTCACCTGCACAATCACTGCTGGACACGTAGACAGAAGGTCAGCTTCTTCCAAAATACTGAGGGAGGGGAAAATGGATACTATCTGACTTGTTTGAATTGAAGAGGAATCCTTCAAAATGAACCTAATTTATACGTTTTTTTCAAAGTAATGGTAGGAAAATTAGTTGTTTTAAATTCACTTCCCTAAAATAAACCCTTCTATACCCACCAAATGTTGATACACTAATACTTGCTGTTGATAAACTCCTATAGTTATTTCTGCTGTCTTTCGTACACATCTGTCATAATAAAACAGGGAGGACTATAAAACTGGCATCTCCAGTTGTATTTGTGTTATAATTTTATTGTATAGATTTGTTTAGACATTTTACTTCTTTCCAGTTACAGTATATAGTCCACTTTCCCTCTTCTAGCTAAGTAATGGCATGCACAGATACATTTAATAATTATTTGACAGGCCATTTTGCTGTCCTATTTTTCAATATATTACAGTGACACCAAATCCTATTCCATCAAATCAGGCTTTAATTTTAATGCATGTGGGCATTGAACAGCTAAACTCCTCTGTGAGGAGCTCTACAGCTGTAAGGACAGGAACAAGTGTGACTTGTTTTGCCAAAACCAGTCTCTTCCAGGTTGACACTGACAATCTCAAAGTGAATTTTAAAATTCATTGTCTTTATTTGTGAAATTGCTGCATTTGGTCAAGAGAGTAGTTCTGGGAGATGATGTGACAGGCAGTGTGCTGGACAGAAGAGATCTCAGGCTGTATCACTCTGGGTGACTCACTGTAGGTGAACAGCACAGTGCCTGTCCTAGGGCATGGTCCTTTGAGACCCGGAATTTGTCAAATAATTTAACATTTGTAAGATGTTGGCAAAAAGCATAATGGTAATTACACAGCAGACTGTTATAAGAGGGTGGTGTTGGGAGCAGTAGGGTATACTCACCATCAGCCTGACATATTAGCCACACAGATAGAAAACACAGCAACACCTCCAACTGCAAATTCCACATGTGTCTCTTGACAGTAGCTTCCTGTTTTCCAGCGGCCTCTGCTTATACTCTTTGGAAAGCCTCTGGTCAGTCGGGGGTTAGCAGCTGGAAAGAGGGTCGTGGCTACAGCTGTGTCTGAAGTTCAGGGCCAGAATGCTGTAACAGTGATCCAGACAACAGGCTCAGCAGGAGTTCCCCTCTTGAAATCTGACAAAGGCTGCAAATATTGCAAAACAAAATTCTTTGCCAAGATTTTAATCCCCGTTAGTGGATAATACTAGTCAGGATTTTGCCATCTGGACATGAGAGAATGTTGTGGGTGAGGCTCCTCTGTGACCAGCCCTCAGAGCGGGTGGTCCTTGCCTGCCCGGGTTGAGGAGCTGTACTGTGGTTTGGGTGGACAGGGTTCACCTTACATTTGCTATTACATTGAAGCTGCCTTGTACATAAGAACATGAATCTGCTTCATGCATTGCCAGGTGTGCTCTACTAATTTAGGAAATATAAAAGAGCTCATTGCAGATGTATACTTATTATAAAATACTAGGGACTACCAGCCAGGTGAACAAACTGTCTCCCAAAAAAGCAATAATTTACTATTAGGTATCGAAGTAAATACCTTTCTGGTTAATAAGAAATTGGAGGGGGCAATATTAGAGGTAATGTATTACATTACATTGTAAATATTTACAGATTACAAAGATCACCATCAACTGAATACTTTAAAAGGTTTGCCCCCAATTTTATGTTCATTTTAAAATCCCTTACACAAGTAATTTGAATAATGGGACTACAGTGAAGAAAAATTAATAGTATTATGTTCTCTGGTCTCTCTATGAATATATTTTTATCAAACTTTCAGCCAGGCTTTCTTGCCATGATGTGGCAAAAAACACATCAGGGCACTGAAATATCTGTAAGGTAATACCAGGCTTACATCTTTCTTTTCTCATTTGTTTTCACAGGTCAAAGTCGTGCTCCTGTGCCCCATAGCAGGAGAAAACACTCGCAAGTTTGCCTAAATGCCTGTTTTATCAGCTTTATTCAGATCAGTATGACAAAAAAAACATGTCTTCTGAAGAAGAAAACCTCCATGTTCTTAGGAGAACAAATGGAGACCCCAGCTTTCAAAATCACGATGAAAATATGACCGAGTTGTTCTTATGCGATGCAGTGCGCAATAGAAGCAAGCAGCACTCTATTACAGAAAGGACTTCACTCTGCGATATTTTTGGTGATGACAGCGACGCCCCTGTGTTTTTAAGTAGCAACATGTCCAGTAAGAGAGACTCCGCCGAAGGCTCGAAGATCGACGATGCAGTCTGCGACTCCTCGGGCTCGTACCATACGGCCTTGTGCTCGGAGGCTGCAGAGCCTTCAAGCGACTCGAGCGAGAACTTCGAGGATTCCAAAGAGGACCTGTCGCCCGAGCAAACGGACTCGGAGCACGGGGTCGCCCCCGAAAGCCACATCTCACAGCGCGGGCACGCGGCCAAGAAGATCGCGCTCACGGCCGGAGTTAATCGCCCCACAGTAATGCCCCGTAGCCCCGGACAGCTGGCCATGCAGGACAGCAGTGAAGTACAGAACACAGGTCCGATTCCTGAGCCGGAGTGGCGGAAAGAGGGTGAAGTGAGTGTGGCAGTAGGGGGACACCCCTCTCTGAGAGTGGCCTCCACTGAGCCGGTCCTCATTAGCTCAAGGTCCGTCGGCAGACGCAGCGAAAGTGATCCCACTGTGGGGGGGGGCAGCTGCGGCACCACTTGCAAGGAGCAACAGGTTCAGCTGTCACTCACGGCCAAGAATAGAAAAGGGCCTGCGAGTTCCAGCACAGTGCTTACAGACAGAGAGCCCCTGCTGGGAATGCCAGGGCGCTGTTGTTCAGAGTGTCCGTTCAGTCCGCAGCGGCAGAAGCCGAAAGAACAGCCAGGAAGTGCAAGGAAGCAGAGCAGCCACAGTCCGTCCGCGGCAACCCACCAAACCAGAGACTGCGCCAGCGAGGCGTCCAGCATGGGCAGTGAGCTGGATGAAGCAGACAACGAGGTGAAGTGGTTCACCGACCTGGCCTTCAAGAGCTTGTCCAGCCCTCAAGTCGACTACCTTGACATCTACAACTCCAGCTACAGGTCTTCCGCCAACGCGTCGCGGCCCTCGACGGGGGAGAGCTGCGGGGCTAATGTGTGGTCAGCGTACGCTGACCTGCGCGGCTCGTCCAGAACAGATGGCAATGATGTCATTGCGCCAGACAGCAAGGAGCCCGCTGAGCAGTTTGAGATGGGAAATTTTGAATGCGAGGATGTGGCTCTTGAAAGCAAAGATGAGCTAAAAAGAGGCAAAAGGACTGTGCCCAAACGTCAAATCCAGCTCAAGAGACGCGACACCAGCGAGTCGAGAGCAAGTGAGTCCAGCGAAAGCGAATGTAAACCCACGCACAGGAGCTCTGAGAGGCGTACGCAGGACATTCTGCTACGCCAGCATAGCACACCGGCTGCCATTCAAGATGGGTATCACAAAACCGAGGATGTTACGATCCGACAGGACAACAAAAAGAAACTGCAGAAGTCTGTCTCACTGGATGAGACGTCTAGTAAAACTAAATTTGCATCTTGCCTCATAAAAAATGTGTTGTCTAAGAAGATGCTGTACGAACACAAACTGAAACAGCTTCAGAGGACTGTTCGGGATGGGCAGCCACCAGTCACGGTTACTGCTTCACCCGGGCGTGACAAAGGTCTGGAACGCTGCAGGGAGACTCCAAAGAACGACATTTCAGATCTTTGCTTTACTTCAGGGGTCAAGTCAGACTGCAGCCTTTCTTCAGAAGAGCTGTCACTGGAGCCTCTGCTGCCTGGCAAATTGGAGTTAAGCAATCAGAATGTGACTGATACCAGCAACATAATACTTAACACCACGGTGAGTGCAAAAACGCACCAGAAGCCATGTTGCAAATACAGCTTCAATGCTTTTGAGAACTGTGTGGAAGGAGCTGCCAATACGAAAAGCAGCAACGGGAAGCAAGGGAAAAGGTCAGAACTGGTTATACCCTGTGAGAAGAGGAAGGCATGCACAGATGAAGGGATCATGAAAGACGAAGCGGAGCACAATGCCAGCGACAATCCTGGGCAGCAATGGCGTGACTCAGCAAGTTCCAGCACGACAGGCAGGGTGGATGTTATAAGTACCGCTCGACCCACACGCAGCAAGTCGGGAAGGACAGACAAAGAAGAGCAGCATCCTGTGAACACAGAAAAGTGTCAACAGCAGGATCCAAGAGCCATATTTAAGTCTGAAGCCCCAGAGATAACTCTAAAACCCAACACAAATGACAAGGTTTGGACTACCTTGAGAGTTGCCTGTCTGTCTCCCGACAAAGAAACTGGAAAAGTGGGGAATGGAGAGTCATTACGTCCAGTGAGTACACCTGGAGTAGACCAAGAGAAAAACAAAGAAAGTGACCTGGTGGAAACTACCTCATATAATAAAGGAAAAACTCTGATTCACAAGGTGAGAGATGTGAGGAAGCTTGTGAAAAATACTTACAATTTGTCGTTTAAGGCGCCAGCTGCCCCACCTCAAGAAAGTCAGCTGCCAGAGCCAGAAGAAGCCCTCTTCCTGCCCGCTGGTCCACCACCAGTGTTAATAGAGTGCAAATCCATCAGCAGACCAGAAAGCAAGGCAGATGACAGCCACAGTGTTACAAAGAAGGAGGAGAAAACAACATGTGTGTCTCCAGTGGTGCAAACCAGGGAAAACGTTTCTATTTCCGTGAGTCCCAAGACCAGTAAAATCGAGAGCATCTTACTCAAAGACATGCGTAAGACACCTGATAAAACCTCCGTTACAAAGACCACAGGTCTGAGAGAAACGCCTGTGAAGATGCTAGACAGTGATGGAGATAAGAATTCAGAACTGACATTGGGAGGGATTAGGAACCCAGAGCTCAGCGACACAAGCATTGATCCTCCCAGTAGAGAAAGGGAAATATCCACATTGCTCGTCCTGAAAGATGGACCAGAGGAGACACCAGCTGCAGGCTGCCTTCCAAGCAGCAGCAGCCATTCAGTTTCCATGATCTTGAAAGAGAAAGGATTCCAGGCTGACATAGGAGTCTGCGAAACCTCCAGTGAGGACAGTAATTCTGCTCCCAAGCATGTCAACACTCTGGAAGTGCCATTGCAAACATGCGTTCTCAAGAGTACAGGCTTAGAGTCAGGAAGAATGGAGACCCCAGCTGAAGCAGACCTCCCCCTGCCACAGAGTCAAACCCCAGCTGACCTCCTGCCACCAGAGTGTCAGGCTGCAGCATCGGATGCCAGCAAAGAGCAACTGACTGATGAATGCAGCCATAAATCCACACAGGATTCCATCTTGCAGCCAGAAAGTCGCAGCTATGGAGAATTCAGTCAAGATCTTTATGCTTCGGACGACCCTCCTAGTTATGATGAAAGGGAGAGTTTCAGCCGGCTTCTTGCAACAGATCTGCCACCCGGGAAGCCAGACAAGTATTGCCCTGCTCCTCCCAAGTGTTCATGTTCTGTTGCGACACAGAAAAGCCCAGCTCCACTGCCGAGTCCCCCAGCCCCCTCTCCTGCTAGTGCCTGGTGCGACAGTGAAACACCAGAATCCCAGCAGGCGATGACATCCCAAACGCAAAGAACAGACACAAGTGCTCTGAATCACCCGGCGTTTCCTCTCCAGGCGGGGCAGATGAAGTCTGTGCCTCCAGCTCCACTTCACCCTCCTTCAGCTGCCTCTTTCTTTCCAGTGCAACTGGAGTCTGAAGAGAGGCGGGCGAGTCAGAGGCCAGGCCACAGCGTGACCCGTCATAAATCGCCACAGCCTTCGCATCCCGCCGGTGGAAGTCCTCTCCACCAGCCCCCGAAAACGGCCCAGGAGACAAGGCAGCAACTCCTGTGCAGCCCCAGGGGCTTCCTGTCTCCATTCGCTGCCGAGTGTGGGAGTGAAGGCCTCCCGTATCCTGGGAACGTCGCCAGCTCCGCCGTGCCCTGCTTCCAGTACAATCAGAGTCCGAGAAAAGTGCTGCTCGACCCTGAAACTGGGAAATACTTCTACATTGACATGCCTGTCCAACCACTGCGCAAAATGTTGTACGATCCTGAAACAGGACAGTATGTGGAGGTGCTGATACCCCAGCAAGCTCTGTCGCACAGCGGGGTGTACCAGAACCCAGCCTCCCCTTATTCTTCATTTATGAACCCAGGAATGTACAGCTCACCTTACATGCCTTATTCTGGGCTGCCGATGCCTTCTCACCCAGCTTTGCCGCCAGGTCACCCTGACCTGCCGGGCAGCACCCCACATGGCAGTGCAGCCAGCCAGAACCTGAAGCCAGAGGTGCCGAGCAACCAGCCCACAGAGCAGAACTACCTGGAGAGCATGTACTACATTCCCACAGGAATGACCGCAAGCCCCAACCCTTCACTGCCAGAACTGCACCTGAAACGTCCTCCTAGCTCTTCGGGTGGTATAAGAAGATCCTGAAATGTATTGTCAGTAGAAGTGCACAGCATTGAAGAATAGGTGGGCTTCAAAGTTTGTCCATCATGGTCCCAAGTGTGAGTTTTACTGTTTTGTTTCATTTTAAATATAACTTATACATTTATAATTTTTGTATAAATTTCTTGCCGTAGACTATTTCTTAATACATCTGGGTTGGCTTTTCAAATCCTGTATTACTGCGATCACAAAGCTGCATACGGAGCTCAAGAGCTCAAGGCATCAGGTATTATTTCAGAATCAGGAAATAACGGTAGTTGCTTATTAAGAAAAATATTAGCAAAAAAACATTTTACAAGACAAATTAAAGAATTTACAGATTTAATAGTTGGTTTATGACCTCATTTCCAAACTGTGGAAAAGAACAGGGTCCAGATTCAGATCTTAGCATGGCTGAGCATGTAGCAGTTACATGATAGTTTTAATGTTGATCTTTTGCTCAGACGTTACAGTGTGTCCTTTTTTGAATAGGTAATCCTCAGCAAGTGATAATGTGATAAAAACCATCAATAGGCAATAGCATTTTACTAATAAATGAAAAAGGAGTTTCTTTTCAGAAATGCTGGCCATTCTACCAAAAAAAAAACACTACTATTAATAGATCATAAGAACTGTATTACTGATAACACAACAAAAGGATTTCCCCACTGTACAGTACCTATCTCATTTCTCTGTACTTACTTTCTGATATTTCATAGATTGTGCTAGCCGGGGACTGTGTGGTCTTGTGGCAGAGGAAAAGAGACCGTTGTTATCCTGAACAAGTTACCAGGCATTCTAGTGCTGCATTCTTCACACGAGCTATAAAAGCAGTCTTCTTGGAAACGTCTCAGCAGCGGGGGCTAGCGGTGAATAATTCACCCCCAAGCCTGTAAGGGTCAGAGAGCTCTGCTCGAGCGCACTGTCCTCAGAGACAGCTGAGGCCTGGCAGGGGGAGTCAGTGAAAGGGCTGTGTTACTTTCACAGCTCGGTGACAGAAAATACCAGTTGGGGGTTGAAGTCTGTTCCAGGCTTCCAGTCCAGTACAGTTGGGACAAACTGCCTCTTTCAAATCAGTTATATACTCAGTTTGACCTCTGGTAGGGCTTTGTTAATCTCTCAAAATGTTATTACTTCTTGATCTGTAGGTATCTGTTGCTTTGTTGTGTTTTACGGAGCTTGTTCTGTTCTGTTTGACTTCATCATTAGCAGAATGTCTGGACTGAAAGTCAGAGAGTGAAAGCATGTGTGAACACGTTAGTGGTGAAAAAAGTGTTTGAAGGGTTCAGTCATGTGGGAGAGTGTTTAAAATGCTGTAGCAGTCGCTGCCCTTACGACTGTCATTGATGGGGTCACCATGTGAAAGCTGTTGGAACTCAATTCACAAAGCAGCTGTTCCTTTTCAAGTAATTTCTAACCTAATGAAAAACCTCTCCAGATTGCAGCCTCAATGTGCATTGGATTAGACTGTATCTTTCTCTTTCACATTATTTAGTTCAGATGTGGTTTAAAAACATGTCCCGCTGTAGACAGTGCTACAATGACAGAACATTTGTGCTGATCAGCACGTCTGTAATGGTCCTTTCTTACTGCAACAGCGAAGGCGTTCGCACTCATAAAGACCACCTGCACTGTTCCACAGCTCTTTCAGCTGTAACCTCGTAGGCATTTCAGTTCTTCTTCGGGTGCAGTAGACAAGACCTCGAATCGAGGGCCGTGCGGTCACGTCGAATGTATGAATCAGAATGGATAGGGTACAGGACTGGGCACTCTGGGAACACTGGGGGGTTGTGGAACAAGGGATGTGGGATGGGCCACACCACAGTGAAACCTTCCACACTCCCTTGCCAAAGTATTCGGAGCCTGACATGACACCACCAGCGCTGGCGGACCCAGAGCGGGGCTGGTTGGGCTGGAGAGGGCAGCTGCCTCCTGCTCCCCAGCCCGAGCACACAGGGCCTGCCGGCTGGTTGACTGGGATCTCCAGAGAAGAAATAACCTGCACACGTTGTGACTGAGATGTCATTGACTTTAAGAACAAGGAGAAACGCCGTTTTGTTAGGTGTGTTTAGGAAAGTAATACAGAATCCCAAACCAATTCCGCTCAAATGCTTCATCACATGCTCAGATGCTTACCTTGGTCAGATTCTGATTCACAGACTACAGAGAAGGCACTCGTCCCGGAGTGGAAGGATTGTTAAGTTATTTTTATCTGACAGTAGCAACTGTAAAAGCAGCTTCTCTCTGACGCCTGTGTCTCCTGGGGCACCTCTAGTGTACACATGTAATAAAGACACCATATGTGTTTCCTCGACTGTTGTTGGTGTCATTTTTCAAATGGCTGAAGATGTGCTCGCCCTTTTCTGAACACAGTCACCTCACCGTGTGTACTGTAACAACAGCAGGTTACGTCTTAGGGCTTGAATTCAGTGTTTAAAGTCTGGGCAGGGTGCGAGCTTGTGTTGAGCCCAGGCTGCCTCCGCCACTCTTCTGCACAGCTTCTCCAGCAGCTGTGAGCCTGGAGGCTGCCCTGGAGAAACACCACTTCGGGCTTCCAACGCTGAGGGTTTCCCCACTTTACGTGTCTCATTTCTCTGGACTTACCTTCTGTTCTTTCAGAGATTGTGCTAGTGGGGGACAGTGTGGTCTTGCTGTGTGGCAATTCTCAATTACACTGTAGCACCAGCACATGAAGGCCAGTGGTCTGCCTGGTGAACCTGACTGATGACCTCAACATGCATCTGGAGACAAGAACACTGGGGCTCACTGAGCTACTCATGGACAGAGCCTGCTGTCGCCTGAGACCCCCCGTCTGTTCCCCGGTGGAGTATATTCCCCAACACACAGAATATAACACTGTGTGGATGTTGAACTCACTGCTTCCCCAAACACCTGTTCAACATCTGTAGATGGCACTGTCTCTATAGATGTGCATAACAACGTATTCTAGTCTGGGAATGTCTATGTCATACTTTAAAAATATAGTAACACATTTTAAGAACCTTGAGAACCTAGAAAGTTAAGTATATATTTAAATAACCTTTTTAAATATATTAATATTTCATAAAATCTTATCCTAAATCTGATTTAATGTGTAACAGTTCATACGTCTTTAAATATGTTACATTTATTGTCTCACATATATGGTGACAATCTTTTTGTTCCAAAGTAACTACAAAATACATTTTCCAAAATGTTTTGATTGGAAAACAATGTCACTTTAAATATGAGCTTTCAAACATTTTTACCATTTCTGCCGGGAAAAGATTGTGCTGATTAGATCATGATTTAGAAAGGTTAGAGGAACAACTACTGTAGCCTTTGACAATTCACAAATTGCAATGGTATCACCGATTTGAAGTGTTTGTTTTTTATTGATGACTCTGGGCTTCGTCACACGGCGGGGGGTGACCTGGACTGTGGGGGTCCTCGCTGACCTGCGCCCCGGGCGCAGCGGGGCAGGCGGACGCTGGGGTCACACACCCCCATGCAGGAGTCCTCCTCGGCACCGAGGCTGGGCCATCGGTCTGCCCCTCCCTGTCCACGCAGGAGGAGACTCCGGAGCACGCCCACCTCCGGCTGCGGAAAGAGCCGTGCTTGAAGGTGTCAGAGAGAGGCTATACTTTCGTACAGGCGACCGCACTGTCTCCATTCTGCTTGACGTCCTCCGCAGCCTCCCTAGCGGGCCTCCGTCTGCTGCGGAAGCCCTGGAAGGTGGGAAAGATCGGGATGCGCCCCAGGCACTCCATGCTCCTCACACAGCTCATTCCGATCGGGAAGTCGTAGGTCTGGAGTCCCGCGCACTGGTCGCTGCTGGAGTGGACGCCCTCTGTCCAGTCCAGCAGGCCTCGCTCTTTCCTGGAGCCTGTGTGGGTGGGGAGAGCGAACACTGCACTACCGGCTCACCAGTGAAACACCTGAGGCGGCTGCTCTCAAAGGGGCTGTATAGAGTCAAGGTTTTGTCAACCTGTAGCAACAGCAACCATGGACACCATCCAAAATCAGAGCCTGACATTAACAAGCGCGATTTCAGTGCTGAGGTTTTGTCAGTCTTTCTGATTTTCCCTAAATGACGTATTCCTTACTCTTGCCCTGCAGTGCAAGCAGGACCTTCATCGTCAGAGCTTTCTGTGATAAAATTAAGAAACCTACAAACTGGAGGGGTGGGAAATATCAGTGATATGTTTTAAAAAAAAGAGCAGCAGAAATACCTGGAATAGTGTTGTCCAAGATGAAGGCCAGAAATCCCCCCACAAACATCTCTGTTGTCAACAAAACTGTCAGGACTTGATCAATCTCTGGTACGCCTGCAGGCAATAAAATCAAGTCATCACGGATTATGGGAAAAAGGTTAAGGCGTTTTTTTTATACAGGACATTGTTTTTCAGCTGCTGTGTTATTATTGTAAGAAACCTGTAAATCGCAGGTTAATCTCATTTCCACAAAACAATTTTGAAACAAAAACCCATCAGGTTTACAAGAATCTTCACGTTAAAGGTCAAGAAACTTTCCACCTGATTTGAGTAGAGTATATAGTATTGCATTTTGTAAATTTTTAAAAGTAAAATCTATCTGGATTTTTACAACTTTTTAATGTGAAAAATAAGACAACAGCACAGTTCAAACTATATCTAGCAATTTAATAAAACAAAAATGCTGCTTAAAACAACACCCAAAAAAGAAAAAAAAATCGTATTCTTTACCAGTCCTTATGGCATTGGGGTGCGTGTCCAAGTAATTTGGCAAAGTCAATCCAAAGAACATGGAGAATCCCAGGACAAACAGGTTGCGAGAGGAATTCAAGTCCACAGTCTGCAGATTGGAGAGCCCTACAGCTGTTATCATTCCTACAGGTACACAAAAAGAATTTAAACAGGAATTCACAACACTATTTACCAAATTTATTTTCTTCCCTGGTGAAAAAGGCTTTCTTGTGACAGTTGCCCTCTTACCTAATGTGATTAACTTTGTCAAAAGGGGATTATTTCAAAACCGAGGGTGATTGCTCTGTTAATGTGTATGAATCTAGATGTTGTAAAAAAAAACTACACTTTTTAATTTTGCCAATTGAATGTTACATCAGGACCTGAAGTCTCTAACACTGCTGCTGGACAGCCCCAGCTGACTTTCTAAAGACTGAGAATAAAGCCTCTTTGATCCTTCAGAGCTGAAGGGTCTTCATATTCGGGTTTTAAATGATCTCTGGATTAATTTACCATTTGTCCTGCTTAATTGAAACTGGTGCTTTAAGGGTGGCCTGTATCAGCTGCTGGACTGCATCTCTTCAGGATGAGGGCTGGCGTCTCCAGGTCGAGACACTGCAGTTACGTCAGGCCACTCAAGAGGGTTTTCTGGCTGTAGTTTTACCTCTAATGAAACTCGTGGATGTGACCAGTTCTCTTACAGTAATTTGACAATCCCAGAAGAGTGGCCGAAGGGAGGACTTTCAGCAGCATGCTTCTCACCTGCGGATGCAACACTCACCTGGAAAATGGGCTCATCTTAGTGAAGAAAGTGTCACTCACCAAACAAAGTGCAGAACATCCCTCCTAGAATGGGGTCAGGCAAGGAAGCAAACAGGGCTGTGAACTTGCCCACTGTCCCCAAGATGAACATGATTCCTGCCCCATACTGAACCACTCTCCTGCTGCCCACCTGCA